ATATACATTTTAGTTATTCATATATACATATACACATACATATATACATATACATATACACATACACATACACACACATAATGTATACATATGTATATGTGTAGGCAGGGGCGATTTGTTAACTGTGCAAAACCGGCGGTGCCGGTCAAATTTTTGTCAGCTGGACTGTTGACAAGAGATTTATTTCTGAAGATGATTTTCATTCAGTTTTAAGTAAATCCAAACATGTATCAACATTCAAAAGCGCCTTGCCGATTTGAAGGCGCTCAAATAGAGAAGTGGGATTCACTGCTGTTTTGTAGCGACAGAGCCTCATTTCTTCACGTTTGTTATCGCACCGGCTCGTAACTTTAAATCGTCTCCCGTCAAGCCGTCACGTCGCGGAACTTCGTACTACGTACGAAGCACGAGGCCAAACCGAACACGGCGATGAGTCCTGTGGACAAACCAAACCCATCGACTGTCATCGGAGCGAATAGTAAATCCCTTAATTGCCAAATTGGCCTCTTCGTAGCTTACAAAATCAAGAATGAGACTGTCATGAGCAGCCCAGACACATGTATTATTTTTTCAGCAAAACATGTATTTATCATTCAGCCTTTCTCTTACTATTATCAGAACTTTTATTGTCAGCATGGCACTAATCTTTTTTGTTTATTGACTTTTTAATCACCTGCAGTTCCTGTTTGGCATTCACTCATCGTTTTCTCCCCACCACAGAATTCTACACTAAGTGTAGAATTCTGTGCTCCCCACTAATAACTTACCTGGCCCATAGGAGTCTGGCCGGCCTGGCCGGCGAAAGGAGGAATCGTCTAGTGAAGATATATAAGGAGAATTTTAACGAGGAGCGATAGGCACTCGGCTGTCAGAGTCTGGGCCGAAAACAATAGACCTACTCCCTCCCTTCTCTCTCCTTTTCCACCGTCACCCCAGCTAGACACCACGTTCTATAATTAGCATTTGACACACTTCCCCACTTTGTTACAACAGTGTTCTGTTCTGAGAACTGAGAAGGGCGATGAAGAACATTTGATCATTAATGATCGGAAACTGTTGTGTGCTTTGTAACGTGTATAGTATCTTTAGCGTTGATCTACGTGGGACAGCGTCACTGGTACGGAATCAATTGACTTTTTGTAATCATACAGGACAGCTTTTATTACTTATTTAATGGGTCCAGTGCATGTCGATATTTTCTGTAGGGGTGTAGAAAGTACGAGTAAAATACGGGAGGCCAGGACCAGCAGTTTATTGCCTCTCACTTTCAGTTTGTTTTCTAGCCTAGTACTTGTAGTGCTTCTTTTTCTGTTCCGATCAAGTCAGTTTCTATTAATCTCAGTAACTTCCATCATACGTTGTTCATAATATTGTTTCTTGACACTACCATATTTTAGCTCTTTCACATTACATTATTACAATGTTCACAGTGGGTGTGTGTGAGTGGGGGAGGGGGG